AATACCATATGAGATCGCTCATATGTGGAGCTATCTAAAAAAACCATAAATACAAAACAGAAACAGACTCATAGACATAGAATACAAACTTGTGGTTGCCAAGGGGGCGGTGGGGTGGGAATGGACAGACTGGGATTTTAAAATGTAGAATAGATAAACAAGATTATACTGTATAGCGCAGGGAAATATATACAAGATCTTGTGGTAGCTCACAGCGAAAAAAAATGTGACAATGAATATATGCATGTTCATGGATAACTGAAAAATTGTGCTCTACACTGGAATTTGACACAACATTATAAAATGACTATTACTCAATAAAAAATGTTTTTTTAAAAAAAGACTACACTATAACAGAACTTCAGAGGGGACACTTTGGGAGAAGCATACTGTATCAACCTGCATAAAACAGGACAACTATCCATTCACAGTATCATTCCCCTACAGATTTTCTTTAAATGGCCAGTTCGCCTCACGACATGAAAGCTATTTTTTACACATTTCTTTCAAAAATTGCATACAGGGGGGCTGAACTGGAAAGCAGGCTAACTGGCTAGCCAAGTACGGCCTGAATATTCTTCCTGTTTTGCAAGGCGATTCTTGCAGCCAGCAGCCAGCTAGAAGCTGAAAGTGAAGAACAAGAATGTAAGCAAGGTGACAACCTGCAGCCTTTCAGGGATGGCAGAGGACACAGAGCAGCCAGGACCACAGACCCTGGGAGCCTGCACACCATGGAAGGACCACTCCCTGCACCAGGGCATCACTTACACTGTTCACGTTTAGTTCCCTTCCCTTTCCTTAGTACTGCTGTTTTGAAAGGACCACCTGTATCAGGTGTGCTAAGAAAAAATAATGGAGTGTCTGCCTGTGGCTGGAGGTACAGCGATGGCTACAAAAACCAAAGGGGGACAAGGCAGGTGCAGGACTCTGCAGTACCCTCTGAGGGCTCGTCCTTCACTGTAAAAGCCCGCTCATGGGGTGGCGATAAAGAGTGCCAACAGAGTGGAGCCTCAGGGACAAGGACTTAGTTCTGGGCCAGATCGTGCTGCCTGGCCCTTCTGGCAGAGGCCAAGGGCAGGTGGCAGGGTCCATTCCCCTGGACAGACCCAGGCCTCAGGCGTGGTTGCTGTGGGAGCCAGGAGAGAGCTGTCTGTCTTAGACTCTCACAGTGGGAAATAAACTCAGAGATGAGAGGTGAGGAGGTTGAACGATGACACTGCCCTGAGAAGCCCAAAGCAGAAAACTACGTTAGCTCTTGCTCTCAGGGATACGGTGAGGAATAAATGGTTCGTGGCTAACTGCCTGGGAGTCAAGGCATTCACTACTCAGTTCATTACTCAATTCACTACTCGCTCATTTCTGCAGCGAATCCAGTCTTCCTGTGAAAGCAGGATGGGTAACACGGCGCAGCTCCGGACAGTGAAACCGGCTGGTGGGACGTGCTACCGGGCCGGTAACGCTCCGAACAATTAAGGGGCAGCGTCAGCCGCAAGCACGGAGCCCGAGCCGCCAGCGTCCCACGTCCCTCCCACGGAGGCCCCGGAGAGGACGCGGCCCGGCGCCCTGGACCGGCCCACGCGGGGCAGTGAGGGCGTCGGGGCCGGCCAGGGGGACGGACCCCTGGGCACCCAGGCGAGCCTTACGGTCGATGCAGGAGACCAATGCCCGCCGGCCGCTCTCGGCGGCGGCCCGCACACCGGCGCGCAAAAAGCAGAGCCGCGCCCCGACACGCCAGCAGCCGTCCCGCAGCATAGCTCCCTCCCGCGCAGCTCGGCTCCGGCAAAGGTCTGGCGGCGCGGGACACCCGCCGGTCGGCCCAAGCGGCCGCGCCGCGCGGCACGCTGGGAACTGTAGTGCGCGCCGCACGGCACGCTGGGAACTGTAGTGGGCGCGGGGGGCTGCGTTACGACTCAAGGCGCCTACGCGAGGAGTCGGGACTACAACTCCCAGAGAACCCGGGGACGCGGCGCGCGCGGGGCGAGGGTGGTGGGACAGTGAGCCCGGGAGCGCTGCGGGGCGGGCTGTGCGCGATGGGGGCGTAGGTAACGGGGGAGGAGTCCGCGGCTCGACTCTGGCTGGGTGCTCCTCGCGGGGACCCCGGCTCCTCGCAGGGACCCTCGCAGCCCTCCGCCCGGCTCGCGCGGGCCTCTGGCGGACAGAGTCGCACGAGGCGCTGTCGGGCGAGGGGGAGACCATGCCGAGACCCCGGAAGAGGCTGGCGGGGGCTGCTGGGCCAGGTGAGCTGCGCCTCTACTGCAGAAAGGCAGGACTTTTCCCCAGGCCCTTTTAGTGCCGGTACATTCCGCCCCTGCGTGTGGGGAGAGACCTCGGGGGATTGTTTTTCGGTGCGATATTCCTAATTGCCCTCTATCTTCTCCACTCTACCCGCCAAGCTCATGCCCAAGGCCCCTTCTGCTTGTTAGTTCTTTCAAGCAGTAGCTATTTGGTAAGCACAGAAGATCGGGATACAGGCTGGCACGTGCTGAGGCCGAGCGTGTACGGTTCCTGCTCTCAGGGGAAAAGCAAACGTGAAAGGGCCTGGGAAACTGGATTGTTAGGGCTGTGCGGGCAGGGAGGAATCAGGGCACGCTCTGACAAGGAAGAGGTTTTGAGTCCAGCCATAAAGACTGCAGAGCTTCCTGCAGGCAAGGAAAACGAGATGTCTTTTTTATATTCACAAGAATGAACGGCATTCTGAGTGGAGGAAGAGCAGGAGCAAAGCAACTAAAGGTGAAGAAAGTAATGGCAAGGGTTTCAGGTTGATGGTGTTTAGACGCGTGCCTGTTACCTCCAGTGGGACCACTGGAAACTTGGAAGGCCCAGACTACCAGACATGGAGAACGATGGCTCATGTGGAGGCTGGACTCAGTCCAGAGGCGGGTAGGATGGTCATTAAGTGGGGCTTCACATAGACCAGAGCGACAGGTCCTGATTGTGTTGGATGTGTAATCTGGGACACATCCCGATGAAAGGGACATCTCATAGGTAATACAGGTTAACGAAGTTACAGTTAGGGTCACACAGAGCTTAGCATTTGTCACATAGGGTAAAACACAATCTTTACAATGTTCACAAGACTCTACGCGAACTGTTTTATTCGACTCCTCTTGGCACCTTCAAGGAGCAGGGAAGAGGCAGGCCACAGAGCACAGTAAGCGAGAACCAGAAGTCCGAGGTGAAGACGGTAATAGGTGGTGTTTATTGAACACTTGTGAGTACACCAGGCCATGTAACCATCGAAACAAGTCCTCGGAGTGCATGTTCAGTCTCCTTGCTGGAGAGAGCAGCCTGAGCGAAGGCACAGGAGAGTGACAGAGAGAAAGCACTCACTGACCGCTTAACAGTTGCGGGAGGCGATCTTGCCCACGGAGCAGGTAGTCCAGGAGACAGCCTGTGAGGAGGGCGTTCTTGTCCGTTTTCGTAGGTGAGAAACCCGGGGTCAGCAGTTAAGGCGCTCCTGACACATGCAGGATTTGAGTCCAGCACTGACTCCAGGGCATGTGCTCTCCTTACAACAGAACGTTCTCTCAGTCAAGCAAGACAGCTCTCTTCTTTTTGCCTCTATTGCAGACAAGAAGGGGCCAGAAGGAAAACGTGCCAAAACGGAGGCCCCAGGTGAGGCACTGGCCAAAGTGGAGAACTCCAGCCTTCAGAAGACTTCAGCCTCTAAAGACTGTGGGGAGAATCTAAGCAGGTACTGGCTGATGAAGTCAGAGCCAGAGAGCTGGCTGGAGAAAGGCGTAGATGTGAAGGTGAGGTCGGTGCTTGCCTCGAGTCCATCACCAGCTTCTCTTGGAAGGGTAGGGAGAAGGCAGTAAGGAGTGAAAGCAGCAGGATTTGCTACCAACAGCTGTCTGTCCTGTGATCGCCCAGGGAAGGGGCTGGAGGCTTTCTGTAGGAAGGTCAGATGTTGCTGTTGTAACTCTCCTCTTGTTACAAGAAGGGGGCCACAGACTACATGTGTCTATGTTCTAATAAATGGTGTGGCCAAGTTCCACTGAAACTATGAACATAATCGGTCTTGTTGCTAGATCTGGCTTGAGGGCTGGGGTTTGCTAACCCTGATCTAGGCAGCAATCTTGGTTGCCTTTGTCTTGCCACCTGCCATGCTCCTAGGTGTCTGTCTCCCTGCCAGCAGCTGGTCTATGTTCAGGGGACAAATGTAAATCAATCATCATCAGAGCCTGGAGAATACGTAGAGATAGTACAGAAGAGATACATATTTCAATGAGTGAAATACGAATAACAAGAGGACTACTTTATCATTTGGGTATCCATTCAACTCATCTCCTTGAAGAGCAAGGATGAGGGGTAACATAAGGCTTACCTGCATTTGCCCAGTATAAGTGGCTCTGTAGAGCTGCTTTCCAGCAAACTACCTGCTTCCACTGTAGCCAGCAGCCCCTCAGTGTAGGGAAAGAAACCGTCTCCTTCCATGTGTTCTTACCAGTTGGCCCAGAACTGTTTGGTGAGTGACTTGGTTTTCTCCTCGCCTAGTTCAGCATCGAGGACCTGAAAGCACAGCCTGAGCAGACGGCGTGCTGGGATGGCGTTCGCAACTACCAGGTAAGAGGGTGCGAGCTGGACCGCAGACCCGGGGAAGCGAAAGCCTGCCTCCTCCTTGCGACTCATTCAGCAGCAAAATCTCTTGGCCAAGCTTGCTTTTAACAGATATCTTCACTGCTCTGACTGCATGCAGTTTTCAAGTGGCTGTGTTCTAGCCAGTGTCCTGATACGAGTCTAGGCACAGGGCAAGAAGTGAATTGAACTGGGGGGAGGTTGCAAAGGAAGTCTCACCTAATAAAAGCAGACCTGACTTCTGGGCTAGTCTCTTCCAGCCGGTGGGGAGGACAGTTCTGTCGTCTCCCCTGAACAGGCCCGGAACTTCCTCAGAGCCATGAAGCTGGAGGAAGCAGCCTTCTTCTACCACAGCAACTGCAGAGAGCCAGGCATTGCAGGACTCATGAAGGTCAGTCATACGGGGTTAGCTACGTGACAGAAGGAAGCGCGCACTCCCCACCTGCTGTCGCAGGAGTGCGGAACGGGGCAGGCCTCCACTTCAGGCCCCACTGGCACAGACTCTCCATTCACTCAGAAACAGGCCCAGTGGCAGCTCTCCCAGGCGAGGAGCTACCGGGACGAACCTGCCTGTAGGGGGAGAAACAGTGGCACCAACAGGCTGTAACACTTCTAAGGGTTTGTCAAAGCAGGGCCAATTCTTCCGTGGTTACTTCCCAGCACCTGGGCCCTTGCTGGCGCGACAGCAGGACAGGCGGGCGAGAACGGGCAGGGTGAGAAGTGACAGTTGGACTGGAGACTGGCCGTGGAGCTGACTGTGCAGGTGAACAAAGACTTGGTTCTGGTTTCAGATTGTGAAGGAGGCTTACCCCGACCACACACAGTTTGAGAAGAACAGCCCCCATTATGATCCATCCAGCAAAGAGGACAACCCCAAATGGTCCATGGTAAAGACTACTGTTTTTCCTATTTTATGAGAGGGAGAGGATGGACAGAGGGAGGAAGGAGGTCTGGGTGTCTTCAGGTCAGGGTACAGAGCGCAGCACGCTCCCTCGGGGGCTCCCTGACTGGAGGGAGGGACAGACCACGGGCAGCCAGGCCCACAGCACCTCCTGCAGGCAGCTGAGCCCCCCAGGCAGGCAAGCTGGACGCGTCCTCTTGCCCCTCCCGCTGTCATGTAGGTGGATGTGCAATTTGTGCGGATGATGAAGCGTTTCATTCCCCTGGCTGAGCTCAGAACCCATCACCAAGCCCACAGAGCCACTGGTGGCCCCTTAAAAAACATGGCGCTCTTCACTCGCCAGAGACTCTCGGTCCAGCCACTGACCCGAGGTAAGAACGGCCCTTTCCTTTTGACCTGGGACTCCCCAGAGAAGTGGCTCTGTCCCGAGGGGCCCGGCACAGCAGTGCTGGGCACACAGGGACACGCCTGGCTGGAGAAATGCACCCCGCTTCCCTGTGGAGGGAGATGCCAGCCTCGTTCTTCCCTTCCTTCTCGCCCTTTTCCATAGAGGAGTTTGACTTTATTCTGAGCCTGGAGGAGGAGGAGCCGAGTTAACTGACCGCTGCTGGACAGCACAGGGTGTGAGGCGCACTCGGCTGTGCTCCCCTGGGGTTGTGTCCAAGGGTGGGCTTGGTGTACTCGTCTCAATAAAACGTTAATGTCAAAGCTGGAAGCTGCTCTCTTACAGCAGCAGTGGGTGTGGTGGGACATCTCACATCCCCTCAGCGAAATGCAGGGCTCCCCTGCTGCCCCGCACCACAGCATGTGCCCAGTGTGGGGCTCCATCTGGTGACATCTGCTGAAATGACTCTGTCCTTCTGCCCCAGCCTTCCTCATCTGCCCCTCACGTATCTGGCCCCATCGGGGTTTAAACCAGCAGTTTCAGGACAAATTGCCAGATGGGGTGAAACCAGAATTCCTTTCTCAGCCATGTGCTTGTCTACAACCGGCCTTGTTGTTCACCAGGGGCCACAGACATGGAGACGGCAGGTGTTGTGTGGGTCTGAGTGGGGGTCTCCCCATGTGTGCAATGGGGCAGCGTAAGGAGAGACCACAGAGCCTGGGGGACCAAGGGCACGTGCCTCCGAGCCCAGGGCCTGCTTTAATTAGACAGCTGAAACAAGAGTTCTTGGTTGAAAACACAGCCACTGGAAAGACGACACGTCGAGACACTTGTGAAAATCCCCCAGGGAAGGGGACCTTGGAAGGAGGGGCAGGGATCTCCCCATGCTCCCTGGATGGACAGAGGGGCAGAGAATGGGGGCACGGGGAGAGCAGAAGGCCTGGCCTCTGCACAGCTCCAGAGTCAGAGCAAATCCGGTCTTCTGTTCCCTCAGGACAACAGACGACGGGTCTGAGATGTGGGGGAGCTGGGGAGGGACTCTGCTGTCAGCTGGGAGGCAGAGGCTCCATGGGACACCAGCCAGCATGGGGGCATGGGAGAGCTGAGTCTCTGACCCGGCGGGGACACAGCCCTGCCTTCTTCACACACTTGGGGCCCGACCCTGATTGTGTGCTGCTGGGGGGTCCTGTTCCTTTCCTACAGGGCTGTGCTGCCCCAGTCCCCCTCAGGTGCCACCCGTAGGCATTCCCTCCAGTCAGGTCTGATCCACCAGCCCTGCCCAGTCAGGGTCCGTGACTGCACTGATTTCTGAGGAAAAGAGGGGTCCCCATGTCCCACACTAACTGAGAGGACACACAGGAACCAACCTCTGTGCTTCCCAAATGACAGACCTCAGACCGCCAGACAGTGCACTTGCAGGCCACCGGGGTCGGTTTGGTCTTTCTAGAAGGGAGAGCAGTTCCTGGTCTCAGTGAGGCAGGAAGGATGTCCGCGTTAACACAACAGGCCTGGGCCCAGTGCGGCAGGGGGCCTTCCCCTGCTCTAGCCCGGCCAGAATGTCCATGCAGGGGGTTTCTGTGTTTGTGCCTTTAAAGAAAACCTCAGTGGTCCCCAACTCTGGTCAGTCATCTGGTGGAGCCGGCAGGCAGAGTCACTGTGACGCTGTGGCAGGTCTGCTGAGCCCCCCCCACATGGCCTGTAGGGAAGGCGCGGGCAAGAGCCTGAAACCCAGCCCCAGTTCCCAGACACGAAATGGAGAGCAAGGGGATGCGGGCCCACCCGGGAGGCAGAGGGGGCAGGCCCTTCCTGGGACCTTCTCCAGGGAAACAGGCACCTGGCTGGGGCCTCAAGCAGCACTGAAAACCTCCCCGCTCAGGGCTGCCCTCCGCCACGCACAGCACCTCACTTCCCCACCCGAGTCCCACCCTACTGCCATCCACACCCGACACCAGCCCCAGGTGTCCCTGTGCCCAGAGACAATCAGCCACAGGCCCTTCACAGACTCTGTCCAGGACAGTACTGACAAGAGTCTACAGAAGATGGAGGAGCGAGGTGCTGGGTCCCAGAAAGGGGGGCTTGGGGAAACCTCAGAGCACTACACCTGAGACTCCCGAGGAGGCAGCTTCCTGGTCTGGAGTCTCCCTGCTGCCACTCAGGACAGGGCAGGCCTGCCGCCGCTGCCATGACCTCAGGGACAGGAGGGGAGTCAACGACGTGACCACCCGGGCCCTGCTGGCAGCTCTGAGTCCTGGGACGGGCTCTGACCTGTCCCCGGAAGCTCAGAGAGCCAGGGGCCACGGGGCTTGCCCTCCGCACCCCAAGAAGGTGTCAGGCAGCCCCACACGGAAGGCCTGCAAGTGGCTCTCTCCCCAGATGCTACCCTCCCTAGTCTAACGTCGGCACAGGAGCCCAGAGGGACCACTTCCCAATCCCAGCCCCTTGGGTTCTTCAGAAAAAAGAATTTACGTCAAAAACACAATTTGTTTTCAGGTTGCGAGTAACGGGTCAGCTGAGCATCACACTGGCCTGCCCTGGGCACCAGCGTCTGGCAGACCAGCGCTCGGTGGAAGCCCAGCAGCTCGCAGCCCTGGGCCTACTGTCTGCTGTTGCCGTCCGACAGCTGGCCGGGGGTCCGCACCTCCCCCAGGGAGGTCGTGCCCTCGAAGCGCTGTGAGGCGATGGCTGCCTGGTGGGACATGCTCTTCCGAACAATGTCGCCCTTCCGCCACAACACCACCTCCTGCAGAGTGGGAAGAAGTGGTGGGGGTGGGAAGACGTGAGGCGGCGGGGAGACGCAGTGGGACGGGGAGGGGTTTCCCAGGGGCTCTGACATCTTCCTGGGGATCTCAGGCAAAAACCTCTGCCCATCTCTCAACAAAGACAGCAGATGTCCGTAACCCCCAGCCCTGGGGCTCCCGGGGATGGCGTGGCTGGGAGGGCAGAGTGGCCACAGGGGCTGGGTGTCCACGGGTCCCTCGTCCTGGCTGCGGGGCTCTGGGTGAACCACCACTTGGCACAGAGACTAACCAGCTGTCTCCCCGGCCCACCTGGACCTGGTCTGGCAGGATGCCCCACCCCCGCCCCGGTTCACCTGCTGCTTGAAGTAGCGCCGTTCCTCCTCATCGATCAGCACCAGGTTGAGGTAATAGCGCACTGAGAACTTCTTGTTGATGTCCCGCATGGTCGGGGTGAGCTCGTAGCCTGCCAGGAAGAGCCGGATCGGGATGGACTCTCCTGCAAGGACAGGTGAGCATCAGAGCAAGGGGTAGAGCGACCCCCACCAACACTAGGCAGGGAGGCGCCGGGCGTAGCAGGGACCCCAGGCCCAGGCATTCTCGGACGTGGCCTGCTGCCTGCTGCCCACGGACTGGCTGAAACAAAGACATGGCTTGGCCATTCTGTTCTGGCCCTGTCCTGTCTAACGAACGTCCTCTGCACTGAGACCCTACAGAGACAGTGCAGCAGGGAGCGCGGACAGCACAGGAGGAAGAACAAGGCGTCTGCAGACTCATGCAGTGTCTTTGCGTTGGGGTTTGAGAGCCTGTGGTCAGACCCCCAACTATTCATGTGCCCCTCCCTCCGCCCCTCCCCAAATGCGCCTCCCCTCTGACGGGCTTGCAGGGCTTGGTGGTCTGCAGAACAGGAGAGCCTTGCTCTGGCTCTGGCTCCCCAGAGATGGCCGCTTGACTAAGTCTGGTGCTCCCGTGGCCTTGAACCTTCTCACAGAACTAGGAACTAGGAATCCAGACTACGCTGTAACTGCAAACGCCTTCCTGCTCTGAGCCTCCCCTAGTGCAAGTTAGGGCAGTAACTGCTGGAAGTGCAGAGTGAAGGTAAGTGTGAGGCTTCCCCACCGCATGCTGCCCGTCAGTGGTGCAGGGAGGAGGGCCCCCACCGCCCCCTGCAGGCTGGGAGCCGATGGAAGAGTGGTTGGGCTGGCTCAGCCCTGTCCTGAGGACGCAAGGGTCTGAGAAGCCTAGACACCACTCCCTTCATGGGGACCAGGCAAGATAAACAGAACAAGGCCCTGGGAGCAGCGGGCGCCCCAGATGGAAACACATCCTTCGTCACAGCGGCTGCAGAGCCCAGGAAGACCGTCCATGCCTGCTCCTCCCAGCAACCACCCCCGTCTGTCCTGGAGCCCCCACGGCCGCTGGAGCCCTGGGGGTGCTGGCTGGGTGGCTGCTCTTGGCAAGCAGACTCAGAGAATGAGTCATTTCACCTGAGCTAGAACTAAGGAGAAGTGACTCTTCTGCTGTAAGCTCTCGCCCACTAGCAGCAAAGAAAGGATGTCAGTAAGAAAAAGTAATAAAATGTTCAAACTGTGTCTGCTAAACTAGCACTTTTCAAACATGTTTTGTTTTTCAAGAGGCATGACTATTGAGACGCAATCTCCAGTCCTAGCTCAGTCTACAGACAAGTCCAGGTGGGTCCCTCCTGGGAGATGGTGGGTGAGGGCCTCCCCACCTGCTCACTGGGCCCACAGTGCCCGAGGTCAGGGAGGTACGGGCTGGCCCCAGAAGCCCACCTTTCGTGGGGGTGCACCCCCCGAGCCCTACACGTGCCTGAGCCCAGCTCTCCCGGGGGCGCATCCCCCCCCAGCCCAGCTCTCCTGGGGGCTGTCACCACCCCCAGCCCAGCTCTCCCCACCCCCAGCCCAGCTCTCCCAGGGGCCGTCACCCCCCTCCAGCCCACCTCGCACGGGGGCGCCGTCCATGATCTCGTACTTGGCGATGGTGTCGTTCTCGTGGTACACGTTGGGGCCCGTGCCGGTCGTCTCCCGCTTGATGATGTCGATCTCCATGTGCTTGATCTTGATCCTCACCAGCAGGAAGTAGATCTTCCCCACGATGACGTCTTTCAGGTGGTATCTGCCAGGAGGAAGCACAGACGCAACGTATGGCCAGCGGCCGACCCCACACGTTACAGGCGCCTCTTTTTCTTCCCATGCAGCGTGGAGATAATAGCAGACTAAACAGAGCTCAACGTGAAAAGCATCCTGGTTCCCGCACGGCGGGTGAGACGGAGGCACAGCACACACCCAGACCCCTGCCAGCCGTGCTGCAGGACCACCCGGCCTGTTCCAGACCCCTCACAGCGCCACCTGCAACTCCGAGGGCATTCACCCTGCGTGCTTTCGCTTCCTTTATCCCTCTGGCACTAGCGTGTGTGTTTTTCAGATACCCAAACATGTGAGAGGCCTGGCCCAGCCCACAGGAACCAGGCCCGCTCTTCCTCCCTGAGCCCCACAGCACATCTTTGTGGCCCATGGTGAACTGCGGCAGGCTGCCTCCCGACTCCCCGGCTTCTGCCTGGGCCCATCAGCAGTACGGCTGCTCTGCACCAGGCATGGCCGGCGGCTCAGGACCAGGGTACAGGGTACAGGGTGCTGGCGGGGCTTCAGGGTTCAGCCTCCTGCATTACAGGTGCGGAAAGGGAGTGCAGAGGAGACAGGTAATCTACCAGGATCTGAGAAGGGGTGGACACAGGGTGTGAACCAGGTTCCCGACTCCCAGGCCTGCGTCTCCCAGCTGTTAAGTGCCACCTTTCTGCTTCTGACCTCACTGGGGAGACCGCAGACTCCCAAGGGCACTGAGAGAAGCAGCCACTCACAGCATTTCAGAAGGAAAGCTTACTGAGCACAGACTCTTGGGGTTTTCAGATGTTTATGAACTGGACGCTCCTTTACTCCGGATGAAATCTTACGCATAAGAAACACAAAGGAGCCGCTCTGGGGGGCCCCAACCCCCGTCACTGCACCCTTCTACGGACCTGATCCAAACCCCTCATTTTTCAGATGAGAAACCCAAGGTACAGAGGTTTCAGGCCCTGCTAACCCGAGCCCAGGTCCCCAGTGGCAGAACAGGACGCTGTCCTAAGCTCCAGCCTGAGCACCCGCGATGCGGCCTGACCTGCAAGGGCAGGGCCAAGTCCGGCCCATCCGATCTCTGCGTCTCAGGCTCCACTTGGTCTCAAGCACACTGCAGGCTGGCGGCTACAGAGCTCCTACAAGGTGGCACTGCCTGCGGGTGCCCTTCACCAGGCGTGGGGGTGCTGGCAGGCAGGCACTTTGGGGGCTTTGCCCTAGGAAGGCCTGCCAGGCCCCGAGACTGAGAAACGGGAAGGAGCCTGTTCCCAACTTGTCCCGCCTGTTCCATACGTTGCCCTGGGCTCCAGGCTGAGGGCAGGGGAAAACGCAGTTCCCCCTTCACAGGAGAGCTGCCTGGCTCAGCCTGCTGCCCTGAGCCTCTGGATGACAGCAGGTCTGAGGTGAGGGGCTCCCCCAGGGAGAGTCCTCATTAGAGACTCATTTTTTTAGCTCTCTGTGAATAGACTTTCACGCCTACACATTGGATTCTCAGGCATTTTCAGGCATGTATTATACTGGAAAGATGCTCGTGGCACATTTATGAACTGTTGGTAAGTTTCGTGATGGACAAGCACGTAAGCGTTTTGATGTTCTGACAGGAAGCATGGTTTCAAACATACATGACCAGTTAAAATAATTTAAAGGCCTTTATCAAAAAAGCACCAGGTACTCTGTGCTGTGATTCATTCTGGCTCAAGGTGGAGGCAGTAAACGGTGTTTGTTTCCCGCTTTTATTTCTAAGCACACACTGTACACGGGCTACAAATGGCAGTGGGGTGGTGTTCTGAGATTATTCTCATCAGTGGGAGGAGACAGCTGTGCCTAGAATCCAGAACAGATACCTTAAAGTCAGCTGTGCTGGACCCGGGAGGACATCATAGACGTCTGACGTAAGCTTGCCGTCTTAATGTAACGCCGTGTAGTTTAAGCAGAACGACGTTGTTTCCTGCTCAGCCTACTTGAGCAGCCTGGTGCACACAGTCACCGGGCCACTTCTGCGGTGTCCCTGCCGCCGGTCCCCACGAGCCCCCACGCAGCCGGGCCCCTGGCACTCACTTGGACTTATTGTACTCGAACTCGATGTGCAGACAGTCCTCGATCCCCACCTCCATCTTGATGGAGGAGTTCAGCTCCGGGTACGTGCTCAGGGTGTGAACCACGATGTCTGTCTCCTTGACCACATCGTTGAGGCGCCGGCTGATGGTGGCTCGGAGGAAATACCTGGAGGAGAGGGGCGTGCGGTGAAGGGCCGCTCCCCGTCCCTCGCCCAGCCGGCCGCAGGAGTGCCCTGGACAGTGGGCAACTGGGGGCTTTGAATTTCTTTGAGAACTCACCTCTGGGGACCCTCCTCCCAGGAAAAGGGCACTTATACACAAAATTCTGCAGTTACAATTCCAGGGAGATCAGAGTGCCTCCCCCAAGCCGTCTCCGAGCCCAGGATGCTGCCCGAGTAAAGGTGACTTCTCTGCCTGCACCTGACGGCGGGCTGCACCTGGTCGTGGCCCCGCCCGCCACCTGCGTGCACCAAGTACAGGCTCTATTTCCACGACTGACTCCTGGCTCTTTGGCACAGAGATCTCATCCTCTAATGTTTGCATACCATTAATCTAACAATATTCGATTGATAAGTAGTTTTCAACCAGCCGTCCCAGTTAAAAGAGAGGACTAAGTAAGGGAGAAATTAAGTCAGCAATTCAGCCAGGCATAGGACAGACAGACAGACAGAGCATCCCGGGATGCTCACAGTGCCTGGCAGAGATGGGAAAGCAACAGAAAAACTGGAACACAGGGCAAGTGCTCACTCCAATGCAGGATCAAGCGCTGCGGGGCGCCGGTTTGTTCAGGAGGAGCGAGCCTTAGAAGGAGAGCCGTGGAGGGTGGGCCGTGGTCTGAACAGGGATGGTCTTGGGCTGGGGTCCTGGGGACACGTTAGAAAGCAGTGGCCCTGTGGGTGGTGGGCCAAGCCTGACTGCTGGCCAGGGCTTCTGCATGGCCTCCCCAGCACCCTGTCCTCATGACTTAACTCTGCGCCAACCCTCAACCGGGGAAGAAACGGCCCTTTACTAAAGCCGGCTAACCCTGCCTGGTCAAGCAGTCAGGTGTTGATGGAGACAGCTGAGCTGCCCTCCCTCACCGCCCCCAGGACCGCTCCAGCCCCTCTGACTGCTCAGGCTCTCAGGTCCCTGCCCTGTGGACACGTTGCTTCCACGTCGAGACTCACGGCTCCCTCTCTTCTCTGCCCCATGCTGCTCAAGTAGGGAAAGGACACATGTCCCTCCCCCCAGCCGCGACGCTCACTGGAACCGCCCAGGGCACATCCAACAGGAAACTGCCCCTGGAGAGGGACACAGGGTCGACATTTTCAAAGGCCCCCAACTGGCTCTAACATGGGACCCTTGGTAGAGAACTACTGGCATCTTGACCCTTCAACTTTTCCAAAATTTTCAACACATCCAACCTCTCTCCCACTAAAGCATTTTTCCTTGGAGTTTATAAAAACCCATCACCATCATTCAAAAGTTCACAAACGATAAACACCGGAGAGAGTGTGGAGAAGAGGGAACCCTCCTACGTTGCTGATGGGAATGTAGTTCGGTGCAGCCATTATGGAAAACAGTATGGAGATGCCTCAAAAGACTGAAAGTAGACTTACCATATGATCCAGCAATCCCACTCCTGGGCATGAATCTGGACCGAACTCTAATTTGAAAAGCCGCATGCGCCCCAATGTTCACAGCAGCACTATATACAATAGCCAAGACATGGAAGCAACCTAATGTCCATCAACAGATGACTGGATAAAGAAGATGTGGTGTATTTATACAACGGAATACTATTCAGCCATAAAAAAGAAAATAATGCCAGTGCAGCAACATGGATGGGCCTGGAGATCGTCATATTAAGTGAAATAAGCCAGAAAGAGAAAGAAAATTACCATATGATGTCACCCATATGTGAGCTCTAAAAAAATGCCACAGGTGAACTTATTTACAAAACAGAAACAGACTGCTTGGGGAACTTTCACGTTCTCCCTCTGCCTGTGTAATGGCAACAAGCTCTCAATCTGGAGCGCTGGCTAACGTTCCCATTTTAACCTGCTCTCTCAGCACGAAGCCAGAAGTCCTCCTCTAATTGGACACTAACATGTTTCTTTTTCACCGTGGTAAAATACAAAATACAGGTGCAGAGCACGCACCCCGAACAGGCCCTCCTGCAAGAGAACTCTACTGAGCTGAGGGCACCGGGCAGCAGCAGACACAAGACAGACCCCGCAGGCCCCAGAGGTGACCAGTGTCTGCAGAGCACACCTTGCTGCACCCCCCTGCCTGTGCCTCCTGCAACTTGCCTCCCGAGAAACGTGGGTTGTCTGGCTACTTCTCTGCACAACTGCTCCTCCTCTGGCAGGATGCCGCGAGCCCAGGTTCTCACCACCCAAGTGCTGGGCCGGGTGCTGCTGGACGTGCGGCACCCGTGGGGAGAAGCCTGTCGTGCGCCTCGCGCTCACCTGTCCTCCGCCACTCTGATCTGCAGGGCCCAGCAGACGAACTGAAGAAGAGTGAAGGAAGTCTCTTCCTCTCCAACAACAGAGGTAAGGAAACTGAGCACCTGAGCCATTTTCAGGTGCACAGTTCAGTGGCATGAAGTACGTTCGTGCTGTTGGACCTGGAGCCAGGTCCACCTCCACCTCCAGCTGTCCTTCGACTTCCCCAGGTGACACTCTGCCCCGCTAAACACTGGCTCCCCCAGCGCCACCCTCAGCCCCTGGCAGCCACCACCTGCTCTGTCTCCGTGATTTTGACCAAGTGCCTAAAGTAAGTGGACAGACTGTGTTTGTCTCTGTGTTGGGGTGACATTCTCAAGGCCCGTCCGTGCTGCCACGGCATCAGGACCCCCGTCTCCGATGCTGTTGGCTGTGTGTCTGTCTGGTCCATTCACTCGTCTATGCACAGGCGGTGCCCACCTTCTGGGTCCTGTGGACAGTGCTGCTACGGGCGTGAGTGCACGTAAATCTGTTTAAGTCCTTGCTTTCCCTTCTGGACTTACACAAGCGGCACTGATGAATCAGATGGCAATTCTACTTTAAATATTTCAAGAAATCGCCATACTGTTTTCAATGCCTCTCTTTCTGACATAAAACATTTCTGAGAAATCTACTGCAAAAAATAAAATTAAGCAACAGTACACCCCAGTGCTGAGCTTAGGTGATGACTAGCTCGCCCTCACTGCAGCTTCTTCTGAGCGCGATCAGGCGACGCTGTCTGAGTACGGCAACCTCAGTGTGGCAACCTCAGTGTTTAGACCTCTCTGCAAAGACCAAAAAAGAAGAGGCTGCAGTTCCTCTCCTGCTGGGAGGGGGAGACCAGGGAGACGGGAGGAGAGGGAAGACCCTGCTGTAGCCCAGAAGGTCCCTCACCCAGGCCTCAGGTGATGACCAGGCCTGGAGCCAGGTGTCCAGAATACCACCACACACCCCGGAATCAGTCCCCGCCTTCAGAGTTTCCAAGACTAGAACAGTAAAAACAATGCCATGTACTTAAAGATGGGTAGTAATTTTTTAAGAACTTGTCACACTGTGTTACATGTTATTCTCTCATCACCCCAAAAGCTGGAGAGGGCAGGTGTCCATTTAGAATCCAAACCTATTCCCCACTTCTCCAGCGACAGAGCTCAGGACCACACCTGTGTGTAGGGCTGCACAGGTGTGTGGAAAGAAGCTGCTGGACTTTCAGGAACTTGACGTACCAGTCGTTAAACAGCATTTACACTTAAATGACACATATTTACAGTGAAAAGAATGACTAAGTCACTAAAAACAAAGGTATCACATACTAGGACCCACTGCCTCCTTCCTAATGATCCTGGTAGGCCCCGGCTCTCTCTGCTCCCGGGGGCGCTCCTGCCCGGTCTGCACAGGTGATGCTGTGGGGGGCTGCTCCGCGCTGGGGATGGCTACACTCCAGAAGCTGACAACCCTGCAGACCGGGCCCCCCCACCCCGAGGGCCCCGAGACCAGACACCCCTGCCTCGGCCACCCCTCTCGACACCCACCAGAAAGCTCAGAAATGGGCCGCGTCAAGTCCTCGTCACCCGGGGTCCTTGTCGCCCAGGGCGGCTGCCGGGGGGGGGGGGGGGCTTGACTTACCTCAGCTTGACGTTCTGCCCGGTGTAGGACTCATAGGGCTTCTCCACGTGCGTGAACTCAAAGTCGAAGGCCTGGGACTGGGTGATCTCCCCGGGCCGGGCCAAGTCTTTCACCAGGGACACAAACTCGTGGTGGTTCCCGCGGTCATAGTAGAGTTCTGCGGAGAGAGCGAGGCCTCCTCTACCAGACCCTGGGCTGTGAGCACCAAGCGGGGCTCCACGTCTGGAAGGCCCCACAGTCTCACTCACCACCCCCTCTCTTCCTGTCCCTTCACTACGGGCCCCCTCCCCTTCCCTTTGCACAGAGGCACAGGGAGCCAGGACACTGGGCAGACCAGGGGGCGGGGGGAAAGGGGGTAAGACCAAGACCACCACAGCTCCTTAAACACATTTTAAAAACTTCTAACTTTTGAAAGCATATCCTCAGTTATTCAATCACATCATCTTTAGAACAACCTTGTGAGATAGCCAGGTCAGGCCCCTCACCCATGTAACAGGTAAGGAAGCAGAGGCCCAGTGGGGGTCAGTGACTGTGGTTCAGTGACTGTGGGTCAGTGAGTGGCCAAGTCACAGGATCGGTGGCAGGGCTGGGATGAGAGCAGGTCTCTTGCTGGACTGGTCTACTTCTGTAAGTTGGCCAAAGGGGCAAGGATACACCCCACTTCCTAAGGTTCTGTGAGCACAGGATCAAACAGGCCCTGACAGACAGCAAACGCTCCAAGTGGGTGACTACCAGCTACGTCCACCCCGGGAGAGGGGTCCATGTGGCTGAGCTGAGCAGGGTGGCCGTGCTACCCCCATATCTGAAGCCGTGGTCCTCCGACTTCTGTGTGCACCGGGACCACGGGGAGGCTGTGTCACAGCACAGGCTGCCCCCCTGCCCCACCAGTGTTCTGATTCAGGGGCTCTGGGGTGGGAACCAAGAATGTACATTTCTAATAAACCCCTGGAGATGCTTCCTGCTCGTCTGGGGACCACAGCCAAGGAGCACCGCTCCACAGCTGTCCTCTCTGGAAGTTCTGGCATTTCTTTACTCCAAGCTCACTTCACCCTCCTGTCCTAGCGTATATGATGCCTGTCTGTACTCTGCTAGTTACGTGTTAACATATGCTACATGCAAGGTCTTCAGAGATAAGGCCTACACCCCCAGCTTCCTGGCACCCCAGTCCCTGGCTGTGCAGGGGGGACACTCAGTACTGACTGTGCTCTACGTGGCCACATTACAGTTGAGGTACCGGCCTTGGGCATTTCCAGGCTCCAGCCCCATGCTTGGCTGCAACCTGCGATAGCAGGACAAGCCACTTGGGAGGAAGGACGGGCACGGTGCGCTCACAGCCGATGCTGCTGGCTGCGTGGGGACAGACGCCCACTAAGCCTGGTCGGCATCTTCAGAGCATGGGGGGTGTCTCTTAGGGACAGTCTGAGCACTAGGGGCAGTGGGGCAGACCGCGGACAGCAAAGGTCTGACCCCCCCAGGATCAAAGCCCTCTTGGGCTCAAGAAGCCAGATCTCTTGCCTCCCCAGAGCCAGTGCAGTGCCAGCCCTGCCCTGGGGGAGGCTCAGAAGGAGAAAATAATTTCAAGAGTGCTTTCAGTCTTGCAGCCCTGGGAGCTGGCCCTGACAACCCATTCCACAGAGCCTGTTCTCCCCGGACGGTGAGATTCTGGGGAACCTGGTGCCCCAGTTCCCAATCACTGGATTCTGGCCACAGTTTCAAGGCTCGGTCCTCAGATGCATACAGCTTGTGAGGCAGCGGCAGTGTGGTGCATCCCAAGCTACTGCTGCCACTTCTGCATGAAGTCCTGCTGTATTCTGTGATCACAGTGGGATGTGGACTTCTGTGCAGTGACACTTTGATCCATCTTATGCTACAAACAATCCACCTTCTCCTCCAAAGGCCAGGTGGTGTCCCAGCAGGCAGCCCCTGGGTAGTGAGTGAGAATCCACAAAGCTGCTAAAAAGGAGATGGCAGTTCAAACTTCGGGGGGAAGCTGGGGAAAGGTGAGCAACCACACTCGTTTTCAAATCCAGTACCTGTGCCCCCAGTGAGGTAAGGAAGGGCAGTGAGAAGGCAGGAACTGAGCCACTGGCCCCGTGGCATGGGCTCCCCTACTCACACCTGCTGGGCCATTGCAACGGGAGCCCCTGTAGCTGGGAACTGACCCCTTTACTGGGGAACCTGGCAGCCCAATTCCCAAGCACTGGTTTCTGGCCATAGTTTCCAGAGACAGACGGCTGAGCAAAGCCCCAGTGTCTGTGAACGTTAAGTGGGAAATTCCCAGTTTAGAGAGAGATGGTAAGAGAAGGGTGGGAAAATACACAGATGTGATCACACAGCCCAAAGGCAACATGCCGCAGGAGGCAGGGCCTCGGCTGCCGCCCAGCTGGACCAAGCCCACGGGAGACGGCCTCTCTCAGGGCGGCACGTCCTCCCTGCGCCCCCTCACCGAACGTCACGGATGAGTGACCAACGTGTCGTCTGACTGCAGCTCAACTGGGCTCTTTAGTTCATAACTTATAAGCCATTTGCAATGCTTCTGCAAACACCATGGGGAAAAGGGTAGGAACAGCAGCTGTACTTCGCTATTTGCCAGAAGTTTGGTTTCCCCTCGCACAAACTGAAACATAGAACTCACGGCTGACCGGCTGGAGGTGTGGGCCTCTGTTGCATCCCCAAGATGCAGCCACAAGTCATCCTTAGTTCTCCCCAATCTCCACAGGCCCCCGGGACCAGCCACATCAAGCCAGGAGGAACCCATCGGTTCCTTGTTGGATAACTGCCATCTTGGGCCTCTTTCTCTGTCCTACAGAAGGAAATGACTTTTGCAGTCAGGATGTGCTCATGGGGAAACTTGCCACCAACGGCTGGGGCGTGAATCTGCCACCTGGAAGGAAACTGAGCCAGCTCTGCCTCGGGCTCATCCCGTGAAAGCTGCCCTGAGACCTGCTGCTGGGCCAGGCTTCACACTGGTCCTGGAAGAAACCCGAGATGACCAGGGAAAAGGACCTCTTCCTCATCCCGACATTCTGGTGAAGACTGCTGCCTCACACATCCACTCAGACCTCCTGGGCCTGGAAACTCTGGGGGCAGTAGCGGCCCAGGCCGCCCACACCTAGAGGGCCACCAGCTCTGCTCCACACCCTGCAACAACTTATCAATTGGCCAGAATCAATGCATTTCATCCCAGCCTGCTTTCTACTCAGTGTCTCATGGCTTAATGAATTAAAATACAGTAAGCCTCTGGAGTTTTACAAGCACAGGCCTGATATGGGCTGATGAATTTAGATACATTCAGTGGCTCTTTTAAAGTTTTTTAAAAAAAAATACAGATATCTCTTTGGCTTTGGGGTGCAGGATTATCAGGTCTGCCTTCTCTGCAAGAGTGACCTTCCAATGACCTTTGTCTCCATTAGTCTCCAAGGTTGCCCAGCTCTGCATTACACCCTCCACGTGTGCTCCCCCGAGGATCCCAACTAACCACGGTCTCTCCATCTTCAGGCCTCCCCCCAGTACTCCTCATGTCCACACTGCATTCTCCAAAAATGCAGGCCATAGAGTGACGTGGGAGATGCCCCAACCACACTTCGTTGGTGTCAGAACACAGACCAAGCTGCTGGAAAGGGCACACCAGACGCAGGAAGAATCCCGACGTGGCTCAAAAACTTACTGGCGATGACCCAGAAACACATATGGCACGGGCAGATAAATCGGGGTCAACGTTCAAACTGCAACACCTTCGAGGCCGGCTCAGCATAGGATGGGCCATGGCCCGACGGCTCTCACCTTCCTATATTCAGGGAGAAACCAGCCTCCACTGGGCCCAGGAGAGTGTGATGGAAGAAGCCCACAAAAGTGAGAAAGGGCACCCAGCAGCAAGGCTTCCCTCGTGGAGGTGCTTCCGCGGCCTGGAGTAGGGGCTGCACCTGCGCCGGGAGGGCACGCCACAGCCTGAGCGGGACGCCAGCCTCCAACAGGCAGCAGCAGAGCAAAGCCGCACCCTCCCACTCCTTTGCTCGGATAACACTCTCAGATCTGACCACCGTGTCCAGGCAGCAGTCACTTCTTGGGCACCCACCTTGTGCTGGCCGCTGGGACCAGAGGTTAGCCACCAGACTGCTGATGGACTGAAGGCAGTCCTTGGCTCCAGGGGCTCAGAACTTAGTGAGGGAGACAAATTGAAAAAAAAAAAAGAAAAAAGAAATTCACCAGCTTACCCAACTCACTTGCCAAGAGGCACCAACGAGGCCTCCACAAGAACAGCGGACACAATGCTTCAGCTGGCCTGGGGAGGCCAGAGAGGGCTTTCTGCTGGGCGCCATGTCTGCTGGGCTGTGAGAATGAGTGTGCTTAGGTGGAAGGGCATTCCTCCAAGACAGATGTTCACATACAAAGCGAAGATGCCAAGACTCTCGAAGGGATGTGATGTTTTGAGGGAACTACATGTGGTGGGATGAGGGCTGGAGAAAGGCAGCTCAGGACAGAGCTGCATACTCTTCCCCTTCACTAGGGAGCCACTGAGGGGAATTCTAAGGAGCGGCCTGACAGTGCCACAATGCCTTTTTGAAAGTTCACTCTTAAAAAAGATGAACGGAAGGAAAAAGAACACAAAGGCAGGGAGACCAGTTAAGGGACTGCCACACACAGAAACAAGCAGGGTGGCGGCCGTGCCAAGAACAGAGGGGAGCGCAGATCCAAGGAGAGGCTGCCAGGGAGGACCCAACGGGACGCTGGGAGGAGGGACCAAGGGTCCAGAAGCCTCCCAGACTTCTGAGGCTTCAGGGACCCCGGCGACACGTCCAAATGGAGAAAACAGGAGAAGCAGAGGGGCCAGGGCTGGAGCAGGAAAAGAAGGGGGTTTCTGGCTTGAGGGCGTCTCCAAGGGGCCTGCAGGGCGTCACCTGCAGGCAGCTGAAAACACGGGCATGGAACTGAGCAGAGTTCAAATTGGGGAGCCACCTGAGTCTGGGACAACACTGGACTTGTGGGCGCAGGTGACGCTGCCACAGCACAGCCTAGAGTGAGAAGGGAGGGGACAAAAGTGACCCCTCTTCCTACCCGCCTCCAAAACCAAGATCAACACAGGAGCTCTTCTAAGCAGGCCTGGGCCGCTGTGAGGATTGGGGTCTAAGAGGATCGAAGCATCAGGTCACCAGACAGCCGTCTCTGTAAGGACTCCATGGAGACCCTCCTCTCGGGTTGTCCCTCATGCTGGTGGGCCTCTGGAAGAGGTGGACCAGCAGAACAGGGGTCGTTAGCCTGGCATGAATGTCCTGTGGACAGTGTGCAGGGAATCAGGGGTGACGTTTTAAAGATCCAGCCCCTGGAAACTTCTTGTTGGATCAAACTTAACAGGCAAGAGAAGACGATGTGGTCATCTTAACTCCTCTCGTCAGGCACCCATGGCCGGGCCACGCCCTGCACCTCTCATACCAGCGGCTCCAGTCCTCAGGGGCCCAGCAGAGTCAGAGTCATGAGACAAGCATCATTTAACCCACGCACCCTGTCTGCTTGACCCTCAATCATGCAGCAGGCTGTCCCTCTCACTAATGCAGGTAGGATGCATGCACTTCCATCAGGAGGAGAGAGAAATTAATCACAAGAACAAGGAGGCTAATTACATAAACTGCTTCATTTCCAAGCTGTGGAACTCTTCCAGGGAAGCAGGGAAGGGAAGAAAGAAGGAGGGAAAAAAGAACCAAATCCAAGAGACTGTGGTTGATAAGGAGAATAATTTTGAGTTAAAATGGAAACCAATGAGCCAGGTGGCCCCACAGAGTAAGACCGTCTCGTATCACCCGCACGACCAGACCTGAGAATCTGACCAAAGTTCCCCATTTCATGCACAGTCGAGAAAGCAATGGAGCAGAAAACCACGGACCACAACCTCGGGGAAGTAGACTCCAGCGTTGCTGGTGCCCTGAGGTCAGCTCGCTGAGCATCCTGGTACAGAGCACACGCACACCACCCCCGCACGAAGCATGGTCCCTTGACACCTCAGCGTTCTCACCAGGTGACTCTGTTATCACCCCGGCCTCACAGGTGAGAAAGCCAAGGCCCAGAAAGGGGTGCAGCTTCCCCAAAGTCACAGGTCAGCTCAGCCCAGAGTGCTCAGGGACTCATGAAGAGCTGTCAGGGGAGCAGTGAAGGTTCTGAGCAGATTCAGCAGGGGTGCCGTTCTGGGATCCAAGGAGTTAGGCAAGAAAGTGGGCAGTGTCAGCAAGCAGCCTCCTCAAACCCTCTCACTTGCTGGGAGGGAGGCCCTGACACCGTCCCCAGAAAGGAGCATTGCTGGGCGGGGCATTCGGTTACTGCATCGCCCCTGGGTGATGGCATACACACAGACTACACGTGCCTGTCTGCACCCAAAGGAGAGCCAAGGATCCATGCAGTAAGTAACCTTAGCACTACGGCGAGGAAATGCTGATTCTTTTGGGTTCACCCCAGCTAGCCAGGGGCTCCTTACTAGCGGTGATTTTACCTCCTAGGGATGTGAGACATCCCTGTGGCCACACTGGAAGGTGTTTCTGGTCTCTGGTGGGCAGAGGCCGGAGATGCTGTTTAACATCCTACCATGACAAAGACTCATCAGGTTCACAACGTGGACAGCACTGCGGGTGAGAGACCCCACCCAAGCAGAAGCAGGAGAGCAAAGTGAACGGAGCTTGCTCTTCAGCCCTCTTTCTAGGACATAAAAGGCCACTTGTATTCTGGGTTTAAAATAAGAACAGAAAGGTTCCTGTGGGGCCAGCCAGCCTCCAACCTGATCTCCTTTTCTTAAATACCAGAGACTGGGCTGCAGAAGCAGGCCACACAGCTGCTCTCAGTACTGCAGGGCTCCAGCGCATCCCGCCCTGTGAAAGGGGAAGGCAGGTTCTGTGCTGGGCTCTCCAGACAGGACAGCGAGCATCCAAGGAGCTGTCCTAGGAAATCCCCCTAGGAGCAGTCCCAGGCGATCCCGTACACAGGGAGAGCGTGTGGCATGGGGTGTGAATTTTCTGCCAGGGGTTTTTCAGCCCACACAGGTTACTTACTGTGAATCTGCTCCTGAGCCAATGACAGGGGCAATTTATTTCAGGAGTGCCTACGAGTTTTAATAAACACAAGATCCAAACGGCCTTAGAACTGGAGAAAACCCGTGATGACTGGCAGCTCCAAAACCTGTACCGTTGCCGCCCCTTATGTCTATTTGTGGTGACTAGTCACCATGTTTGAAGACTGATTCGGGAAATTCTATTTAATTTGGGTCTTAGGAGCGCGTTTCTTTGTGTTTAAGGAGAAGGTGAGACTACTCAAAACTAGTTCTAATCAAGAAGTCTCAGGCATACTGGCTGGGCGGACAGAAGGGCCGCGCTGGAGTTCGCGGCGCCGCTTCCCCAGCAGCTGGGAGCGAAGGCGGGATGTGAGGGCGGGTGGGCCACCGGGAGAAGAAGGGGC